CAAATAAAGCACCTGAATATTCCTCTTTAGTAAGCTCACTCATTACTCTTCGCTATCACAGGAAATAATGGAATCTGTATCGCAGCAACCATTCGGTTAGTTAAATATTAATATCGAATGAAGAGGAGCCCAGTTGGAGAGATACGGAGGGTTAAAAAAGTAAATGCACGCGTAATCTGCATATCTCAAACAAGAGATTAAACATATTTACTAAATAGTTGTAGTAAGCCATGTATAGCTCTGTGATATTTGCTCTGTAATATTACAGTAATACTGATGAAATAGTAGATTAGTTATGCCGTAGAGAAGGGAGGGGTTGCGTTTTGCTGGCAATGTTAACAATGGTGATTTGCCTTACTTAATATGTGTCTCTTTAAAACACACACACACACACACACACACACACACACACACACACACACACACACACACACACACACACACACACACACACACACACACACACACACAAAACGCGCGCACGCAGGCTCTCAGCCCAGGCCCACAAAGCTGGCGCGCGCGGGCCATATATCTCTGTGACTGTGCGGTGCTGACCTCCGCTCCGTGGCTTTTCACAATAATAATTCAGCAATGCGCGAGGGCTATTTGTTTCGCAATTAGCGGCGTGAGCTAAAACAGGCACTACACCATCACATCAGCGTTACAAGGCCAAACGGAGAGCTTTCCAACAAACCTTGAAGGAGGGAGTGCAGACCAAAACAAGGAGAGCAAAAAGGAGGGGGCTTACATCATACAATGCGAGGCGTTGTCACACAAAATAGCCGTCATATTTCTGAAGCGGAAGGCCCTCTTGGCCTCTTTTGTAGTGTTACAGCTACTGAAATACATATAAAGGAAATAGTAAAGTAATCGCACCCTGTGAATACTGCAGCTCTTGACACGCATGGTGACTATTCGGGCCCTTCTCATGTGGCTCAAACCCAAAGTTGGGGGAGAGGTTTAAGGATGGGTCTTTGCAAGGCCACGACTGCTGTTGTTTTAAGGGCCCCAGTAGTTTACTAGACTGTCTGAGAGAAGAGATAGCACGGTGCCCTCGGGTTACAGTGCCCTGGCCGCGCTGTTATGACAAACTCGCCCTAGGGCTTTGTCGGCCATGTAGCACATAGCGCTGTCCTGTCCGCGCCGGGTCAAGGGTTTCAGAAGGGTCAGTCTGAGACTTCGCAACAGACCTAATCGGTCAGAAAAACGTGTCCTCTAGTTGAACCCATTGCTGCCATCCTGATTGCCTGCTACAAGAATTGATTTTTTTCTGTCATCCCTCAGCTTTCCTCAATATCGGTTTCTATATTTTTGTCTTTTTTGCCACGCTTCATGCCACACAGGTCCACAGAGGGAGGCGAAAGCTGTAAACCAGAACCACTGGCCTTTTCTCCAGTACGCACAAAAGATTGATTTGCAGAGGTTAAATGGCGGTGAGCGTGTATCGGAGCATTCGTGCTCATCTAAGCACACAACATGCAATTGAAGTAATTTGCTACAAGTCGTTTGTTTTAGGCAAATAGTTGCTCTCGAGGCATTTTCATTGGTACCTTTCATTTCTGTCTGACCAACAGAGCATCGAACAATTTATTCTCGATACTGACCACTTTGCACCTGTGTGGCACACAAGCTCTCTGGTGGAATTAAAAAGGCGCTCTGGGTTGTGGAAACGCATAAACACACAAGCAATAACAATATGAAATGCAAAAGAAATAAAGTGCATTTAAACATTATGGCAAAATATCATATTTGCAAAGCTGAAATACTTAATCTTGTATATTTTATCTTATACACTGCAAATCTTGCTCACGTGTATATATGACCCATTGCAACTCATGCATATTCACTGGGTTGATAGAAGACACATGCGCGTTCACGCGCAGAGGACCGGACAAACAGACACTTGCATTTTTTTCCAACATCTCAAAGTAAAGAAAACATGCTGCCACTTTAGCTGTGATAGCACACACCTAAAAGCTATCACAAACAAACGACAGCCGGTTCCCAAAAGCTACCTTTTTGTCAAAGCAGCCATAAAACCATCCGTGCCACAACAGGACAAATGTGCCTATGCCACCCAACTGCGAGAAGGCCATAAAATAATTAAAGTGCTGCAAATAAAACAAAAGTACTGTACCTTAAACGCTGCCATCTCTGGTCCTGTGAAGATTCTCACTCGCGCTAACATTTTCAAGAGATTCTTCATGGGACATCCCTCGCCAAAAAAGTTTTCTTGTGGCATGACTTGGTGAATAGAAGATGGTAGAAAAGGGAGGGGGGTTGTCTTCAAGTGCCCTTCAAGATTTCACTCCCCTCCAAACAGAAGGTCCGAGCAGTTGTGCTGCCGAATGACAATAGGAGAGAAGACTTGTTTAAAGAGAAGAGGTGATTAATGATTTTTCTGTATAATTCTCACATTTTTCTTAAGGCATCTGTCTGCAAATAATGGCGGTGAACTTTTGAGGCCCTCAAAAGAAATCTGTTCACTCCTATTCAAATCAACGTCGCTAAAAGGTTTTGGGGAAAAAGTATATATACATATAATAAAAGTGACAACAATAGAATTCCAAGCTTTATACAGATGCCACACGCACATGCATTCATTTAAGTTGTGGAAAAGCCTGCATTTTTGAATAGACGCGTCTTAAAATTTTAAATCTTTGTAGTAAGATTTTGCCTCAATCACAAATAAGTGTATGTGTATATAAATGTTATTTAGCTGTGCTAAACATCCATACCACTGCATAGCTCTAAAAAAGTGGCAAAATTGTAGCCTAATTTTAATTTGTTCACCAATTATAATTGTAGGCTGTTCCTGAAATGTTTGAGCTGACTGTTTTTTTCTTCTTCTGCTTCTTTTTTCAAGTTATTGAAGTGTTTGACGTTATGTCCAGACAGCATTTAATAAATAAAGCTGGTGGGTAGGGTGGCAGACAAATGGCTTTAGCGGGTTGCTTGGCGAAAAGCCTCACTGATATCAACAAGCATGTAATAGAAAATCTTCTCTGTGCCACGGAATGCTAGAAGACCAATTTAAGGCCATACTTTTGTGTAAAGTTCAAGCCAGCAAACGGAATGTTATTTTCTCCGGCTCTATATTTTCAATACCTGCTCTGAGAAAAGAAAATGAAAATTAATACAAGGGCTGCGCCTTCCAAAAGAAGCCATTTGTCTTCTTGATTATCTATTTGGTTGTCAGGGTTTGAGCTATGGCACCGACCCGCTCCTTTGTAATATAAAAAACACACAGCTTGCGCTGGCAAACAGTCCCGAAACTGTTGTGCAAGAATTACACTCATTAAAGCATTAAAAGCCCACGAGCCGAGAAACTATTTAACTTCAGCTTTTTTCTACTATGGATCCATATTTTAGGCGCATTCACGGCGTCGTTGAACAGAGGGTTTGTGCACCGTTAAATTAAGAAGAGGCGAGACAGAAAGAAAGGGTTTTGTGATTTAGAATAAGATTACAAGGCGTAATGTACCAGGATTACTCGCAATGCAGCGATATAAATCACCAGAGAGAAAGGCAGTGATCTTCAAGACGAGCGAGAGCTACAAGTCTAGCGAAAATGCGAAATGGCAACCCAAATCCAATTAAATGTTTTTTTTTTTTTTTGTATCAAAACACAGTGGACAATGAGATCCATATGCGAAAGATACCATGAAAATAAATAATTTTAAAAGCACAAAAAGACAGGACACATGTAGAAAGATCATACTTTTCCGCCATTTATTAAATTTCTAGAGCTATTTACACGTAACAAAGGTAAACAGTGATAGGTACAAGCAGAAAGCAGAAAGAAGACAAAATACAAACATGTAAGGGGAAATTTACAATTCATGGGTGAGAGAACGGATCTTTGGAATGTAAAAATTCTAAAATTAAAAATAAGAGAAGGAAAAAATATGGTATGTGCGTATCTCTATGTATCATAAAATAAAATGAGGGTGGTATGAACATAATAAAGAATAAAGGAAAAAATATTGTGTATTTGTTCATGCAATATACGCTCTTTATCTCTATACAACCCTGGTCACTCTTAACTTAAATTTCATTTCAACTTACAAACAAACGCAGAGATTAGCTATTACAGATATGTGTCATTTAGTCAAAAGAACTTAAAACGTATCACTTCATAAAACAAGACAGAAAATACAATTGAGGTAATTCAAATAGTACTTAGCAGTGCTCTCATTAAAATGCTTTGCGTTGTACCGGTTTTGGTTATGCATATCTAGCCGTCCAGCTTCATTGAACCTTTTAATTATATTCCATCTTTATGACAACTATTAGTGATATTTGTTCCTAAACTGAAATGCGCTAAACAGGCGAGTTAAACAAGTCCCTGTATTTATGATGAGGGACAAATGGACCACACGCACAACAATCCTCAGTCCCATTGGCATTGCATTCCAAATGCAAATAGCAAATAAACCTAATTGCTACAAAATACAAAACTTCATATCAGTTGAAAAACATTCGGCTAGTTATTTTTAAGCCATGGGAATAAAAGGAGTTACAAAAGGCTTCTTGACAAAACAGAGCGACTCATTTATTAAGCACAACGCTAGACGTCGAGGTAATGGGCAGGCCTACGGTTCATCCCTTGTACCACAGAGTAAACATGACAAATGGGGCCGAGTTTGGCGTGATTAAAGATGAAACGCGGATCCATCTTCACCAAATCTGAAAACTATCTGCCGCCTTCTGTGCTTATGGAAGGGGCGAGTTAGCAGGAGAGGCGTGCGGGATAAAATGGGAACCAGACTAGGAAGGCAAGCCCATCTGTAGTGGCATTTGTGTTCAAGCCTTCACCCATTTTAGTGTTTAAAAGAGATGAACATTACTTTGCCCTTTCCCACACATCTTGCTCGTACTTTATCCCTGTTTCTAATGTGCAGGGGAGAGTAGGGAGACACAACGCGGGTAAAATCCACGTTCTACACTCCAGAAAATGTTTCTTTTATAATTGTACGTGCTTGGTCATCAGTGGAGGGCTATAGACTTGGCGGAGGTCCGCTTGCTCGGCTCTGATTGCTGCACAATGTCGGGCAGCCGCTTGAATTAGTGCTTGCAGAGTTACTGCGTATTTTGGTGTTCGGAAGCTTATGGTCCTTCTTCCACTTCATGCGCCGGTTCTGAAACCAAATCTTAATTTGTCGTTCAGATAGGCATAGTGTATGGGCGATTTCCACCCTTCTTCTGCGGGTCAGATAGCGGTTGTAATGGAACTCTTTCTCCAATTCCAGGACTTGCTGCCTCGTGTACGCTGTGCGCGAGCGCTTTGGTTCACCCCCTGAATAGTTCGGGCTCACTGTTGGGATAGAAAAAGCGACACGTTACAGAACGTATAACACAAACAGACACACACATATACCCACACACACACAGCCCCACACATTGAAGAAGCTAGATATTCTTAAATTCAAATTAGATGCACACGCTACAATAATAAAGTATTATATATTTTTAAGAACATTAAGAAAACGATCTGCATGTATTTGCAAGTAAATACGCGACTGTTAAAAGATTAGATTATGCAAAATGGTAAACAAAAAAGGTCATTGTCTATTTAGGATAACATTTGGGATCGGGACAATGTGTGCTGATTTAATGTTACACGTTCCATAAGAAATTCTAAAAAAAATACATGATCAGCATGTATACTACGAGAAACAGCATGTCTGGTTACGAACGACTAATGATTTTGCAAACATTACATGTGCCCCCTTTTTTACGCACACCATGGCAGCTAGTACATGCGCTAATTATGGTATAATAATAGTTCATAAAAGAGTGCGATTGTTTGTATTACCATTAGTCTTTTATTGTCTTCCTCATAACTGTGAATATTTTACCTCTCCATAAAACTTCTTTACCAGCACTTTTTTTACTAACAATTGTAAAGTGGAAGTATAAAGTAGCCAACACATTAACCCGTCCAGTCACTTAAAATCAAATTACTGAAACATAAAACTTAACTTATGGATTACATGATAACTCATAAAACTCTTCTCGGGAAGAAATTAGAACGAGAAAGTTGCATAGACCCCGAAAGAGCTTAAAGAAGGAGTGCAATAAAAATTTATGGAGGGTGTAATTATATTGCCCTGCAAACAGACGGTCGTAAATCTCGACCAAGGGCAACTTCATAAGAGGAGCAATAGATTTAACGCCGGACATTAGGCTCTCTAAAGTGGCCGAGCTGTCGGTGCACGGAAACACACTAGTAAAAGAAGTTCAGCTGCACTTACCGATGTTTACGTGGACTTTTTTCATCCAGGGGTATACCACGGGATCTTTTCTTGAGCTGACCGTTGAAGTGTTTTGGCTAGTGGGAGTCTGACCGCAGGCTGGCGGAGGGCTTGGAGTTACCGAGTCGCAATGATGGCTTGGTTCAGGGAGAGGGGTCGAGAGTGCGGTTGTGGGTAGAACGTGACCTCGCGGAGAGATAACCGCGGCAGGCTGCCCCGGACCCTGGCACGATGAGTAGGGTGGGTCGGCGCAGCCCGACCGCTGGTGGTAGATCGACTCATGCTGGAACGAGGGGTCTTGCCTCTGGGCGCTGTAGTAGTCCGGAGAGTGACTGGGTAGGTAGTCGCTCTGGGAATATTCCTCGCAGGGTGGAAACTTAGGGTCCACATAGTTGGAGTTGATCAAATAGGAACTCATGGCCATTAATTTCTTTGAATTGCACACAAAATATACTAAAATTTATATGTATCCCTTTACTCGTTTTCCTGTTTCGTAGAACCCTCCTACTTTCTGTCAAGTGAACAAAGTTAAGGGTCCATGTGACATCGTCAGCCAATGGCGTGGATCTTCGCGATTCCCGGATAAGGAAATGGGATTAGTCAGTTTAGACCGTGCTCGTCTACTTGCATTTCGGAACAGCGAAAAATGCCATACTTTTCATACATTACCGTGCCTTTGATGAGATAGTGGTAAAATCAAAACAATAACACGCCGGACAAAGCGAAAAGGCATGCTGGATTCTACCAGCTCCATAGAAAGTCACGCCCCCATTCCCTCTCAGTTCATCTGCAGATTGAGAACATTGACTTTACCTCTATAAAGATCTGTTAAGATTTAGCGAACTAAAATGCTGCAAAATTTAGACCAGTGTTCATGAAAAGCGGTATCAAGGGAAAGTGATGCAAGGAGTTCGCGTTGGCCAGGCTCTTAAATGCACTCGCTAATAATGGTGAGAGAATGGTCGTGGCGTGAGCTGCGTGTCAGAGATGAATCTAGGCTTGTTTAAGATCGATAGAAAATTCATCAACTAATTCAGGTTACAAAGCCTCCTAAATCACAAAGGAGACCTTCTGCATTTAAACATAGTCTGCAGTCATTTCTCTCCAAACGGCGCGTTTGTCCTGTACGCCAAATCTACTCACAATGAATAGTAATTTATGTGCTCAGTCCCCTATTATCACCAGCAACAAATATTTCTCCTTGCTCACTGATAATGTTTAAACCAAGATAGTCAAACAATCACTAAACAATGCAGACCTCTACAAATCTCTACAAAGTCATTTTTGTCATTTTTTAATATTAAAAGTCTTACAAAATACGCAAGACATCGTAAACGTTCTTCATATTTACACAACAACTGAAAAGAATGTACTAGTTACAAAAATAACTTTCGTTCGTGCACCAAACGTTCAGTCGTGGTATTAATTACAATAACAAACCAAATGTTAAAATGTCGTCATCTTTGCCCGTTGAAGTTGAATGTAGCCTATACATCAACTACATACTCCCCTAGATACGAATTTGTGACTGTGCGTCTGTTTACACAAATCCGGATCTACAGGGTATATATAGATGACAGGTTTCTTCTTGACAGGTATTGAGAAAGCCAGCTCACCTTGACAGCGCCTTCCCATTGTCAAGTTGTTGCACCTGGAACAGTCTGCCTCCAAGGATATCAGCAATCTGTCTCACCACTTAATGGATCGGTGCTTCCTTTATAAACTTTTCTAATAGTTTGTAGTAAACACTGGAGATTCTTTTTTCTTCATTTTACTCAAGATAACAACTAAACTCAACTGAACAGAGGAAAATCGAAATTTTCTTCCTTGTGGCTCTGAAACATAATTTTCCTACAATCAGAAAGACGTCTAAATATTTTACACGGTTTATATATATATATATATTTAATATATATATATATATATATATATATATATATATATATATATATATATATATATATATATATAATCAAAGCGCACACCTACTCTAATTTTTAACCAAATCAATCGTGTGCTCTATTTTAAAATCTGAATAAAAAATAATTTTATGCTTGAAAATTATAAAACATAATTACAACCGGAGAGATATAGAGATAGTAATATATACGATAGACAATACTGACTGTATAATGTAGTCAAATGAACACGTGCCAGAAAGTAAATGTGACCGCGACAGATTTTAGTAAAGGTCAAAAGAATGCTGGAGCTACTGGAATAAAACATGTGGGTTTTATGGCGGGTCAGCTCTGTTTGCCACCGGCAAACACCAGTCAAACGGCGAATAAATAGTGAGGTGAGAGAGTATAAAACAATAAAATATGCACGTAGAACAATACCAACAGTTCTTAACCCCCTAACACCAAGCACACATTTTATGACTCCTTAAAGAACCGTTTCTCTCACCAAACACTCGGTCTAACATTTCATGAAAAGCGCTCTGAAATAAAGATCTTATGATGCATCGTTACTCGTTGTTTTGGGATTGCACCGATACTTTTAGGATTATTTTTTGATGTGCATAAAAGGTAAGATTTCGTTTTTAATTTTTACATTAGGTTAATAATAAAAAACAAGAAAACGGATTAACATTTCGATACAACAGTTTACTTGCTCTTTAAAACAGTTGACCTCATCTAATTTATTGGGGCAGTAGGCAACATCACGTCAACCAACCAACATAAATGACGGAAAAACAGCGTTTGCTTTTGCATTGCATTGCTGAACAAAACGACTGTATCAGTGAATAGTAAATAATTATAACCTGTGTAAAATTATTATTTTATCCAACGAAATTGTTTCATGCTAAATTATATATAATTAATAGTTTATCATATAAGTACCCTAAAAAAATCATAATTTATCGAAAAGCACACAAACATAGAAATGATTAAACAAACATTGCCAGTTTTTGCCTTTTTCTTTTTTCAAAGTACGTACGTAGAAAATAATTATTTTATGTGCGTGTGCATATATATATATATATATATATATATATATATATATATATATATATATATATATATATATATATATATATATATATATATACACACACACACATACATATACGCACACATATATGTATGTGAATGCAAAGGTTTTCAGCCTTTGTTCTGCTGCGGTTTAAGGACAAAGAAGGCGGAAAAAATAATGCAAGATAAACTTTCAAAAGAAAGATAAAGCTTATGTAATAATTCTTGTAATGTTAGAATCAAAATAATAATTGATACTATCGAAAGATTATTTAACGTATTTTTTTCATTGAGCAGTTTAAATGTGATGTGCATATAATTTCTTATATCAAAGAAATCTGTAGCACCCCTAGCGTTTGGCAGTCAAAGCTCTAGCAATTTTTCAAACAGGCCTTTGCCATTTTCTTTTTTTTCCAGCTTGCCTTATTCTTTTTTCTCATTCATTTTGATTGTTGCTTGGTATCATTCTTTCCAGATCTCTTGCTCTGAAACAGTTAAACATAGAACGGCTAATAGTTTAACGATTAGATTTTTTAGCCTTACTTCAAAACTATACACCTTATTTCACATTTTAGCGGAGCAAAACTTTTTAACAGAATAGGAGAAAGTTGAGCCTTGGTGTCCAATCTAACCCTTTAACCCCCTGAAGTCCCCGACCTCGCCTTCACCTCCGTAAGCCTTCTCCTTGTAAAAGCCATAGGGACCTCGAGCCATCTGCCTCATTATGGGGTTAATGTGTACACCGACAGGCATTGAAAGCCGCGGTTCAGAGACTATAGCCAAGGTAAACATTCACCATATAAAACCCACACACGCAACAGTGCAACTCCTTGGGGCTCGAATTCAAAGTCATAACTCCGTTATGATAGGAGGGGGGACCCGTACTCTCGCCACAGTGTGCGCGAGCACGTGGTCCGCCCAAGCAAACACCTGCAAGAAGAGAGCACGGCGATATGCAAATGAAGCGCCTTTTTCTTTACTTACTTTTTTACTCTGTGCGTTGCACCTCGCATTTCTGTATTCTCTCGCCCATATCTCGTCTCATTTGCGGTACGCGGTCTTTGTAGGTGATTGTCGTCGCTCCAAAGCCTTTCTTTGCGTTTCAACCGTTCCTGCGAGTCCCTCCGTCTGAACCCCCCCTCACTCCTTTCTCCAAAGCCACAGGTTTAGCCCGTGACCTCGCCGTGATACCTTTGTGTGTTCAACTCCCTCTCATTGCCGTGGGTCCCCTGGTACTCCTCTTTAACATCACGCGACGATAACAGATAGGCGGACATTAGGACATCCAAGAAAATCTTCAGCCGACACAAGAGCTCATAAAAAGAAATAATAAGGAAAAACACTGAGCCACCAGCTTCGACCGCAGGAGTCATCGCGCCGTATTTTCTGTTTTCTGTTTCTGTTATCTTGCTGGCTAGAAGAGGGGGCTTTCCCCATATAACGCAGCCTTCTCTGTCCCAAAACAACTAAAAATAAAATGCACGTTAGCCTCAAGCCGCTGTGAGCTCTACAATACCATTGGGCGATACAAGGCATTTTGTTGTGGACTCTCAAGTTTTCATATTAATCTCGCACTTTGGCAGTCTTTGTTAAACAGCGAGGCGTGTCACGAGTCCCAGTACATTTTAATATTTGTTAGACGCACTGACCTCCGGTTCACCCCTACTCTGGGTCTCTCCCACTCTAAAGTTCTATAGTAATGCATGCATAGTTTGCTGGCTCATATTGAATTGTACCCAGGTCATTACTTTGAAGAAAAATGGCTCGAGAAGGGGGTCATTCAAAAAGGCTTTATAACCCACAAATCAGTTCAGCCATTGAGCAGTTCTTTTTCCCTGGTTGTATTCAGAACACTAAAGATGAGCAGCGTGCATCTAAAAATCCAAACTATGAAACGGCTGCTTGTGTACTCTTTTAAACATGTCGTTTTGCATCGGCGCAGTTCGTTAATTGTTTGTTAAATAAAATAGACAAATATTTTTTGTAATAATTTCTTCTGAAGTGAATTTACTCGACGCGTAGCGTAAAATACTACCTCGATAAAAAACTTTACCAAAACCCGTTCAAGAATAGAAATTAAGATGTTTTTGTAAGTTTATACAGATAAATATGTTTAAGAAATGCTGGGTTGTTTAAATCCAAATTGGATAAAATATGGACTCATCCAAGCATTTGGGTAAAATTTGTTCTTATTCATTTAATTTTTTTAATTAACCCAGGGGTTGGGTTTGCGACTATTACATCCAGCATTGAATTGAAATAACCCGGCATTTTTCACAGCCATAAATTTATAACGTAAAAAAAGAAATATATATATATATATATATATATATATATATATATATATATATATATATATATATATATATATATATGCGCAACCGCAACGGTTATACCATTGATTAATAGGTAACAATAATAATAAAATAATAATAATTATAATAATAATAATTATAATAATAAAACCAGGCTATACAAATATGTAGCCAATTTTTTCGTTCAAGTCGAAAACCCATAAAACGTTGCTGGGTACAACACTGCCAAGCAACAGCACATGTTAGAATGGAATGGAAATTAATTCGGTGAACTCTAGCTGAACTCCAAATGGGACGAGTTTTCTAATATAATTATTCACCACTTAGGTACGTTGTTTCTCAGTATACCAAGTCGTTTAGCATCGCGTCATCCCAACTAACCACCATTAGTCCAAATGTTTGTGCCAATAAATTAATTTCCATGACCAAATTATTAGTTTCCCGCTTTCTCGGTGTTTTCAACATTAACCATTTCCAAACATTTAAGATAAAAAGGAATGTCAGGTGATTTTGTTTTCAATTCGTATAATTTTATTGATCATGTAAATTATTTCGTTTATTTTCTATTACGACATTAAAATATCACTTTAAGAGATATTACATGATGGGGTGTAGCACGATAGCACTAAATCTGAGATATCCAAGAAAGGGAAATGTGCTTCTTGGGCAAATTTTCTTTTGTTTATTCGACTAGTGGGTATAGGAACAGCAAATTGTCGACATTTTAAACAAGCAAACAAAATGCCGCAGGTGGTCTTCCGTTTCGAACGTGGTAAATGTGACCAACAGATTAACAAACAAAATGTGCAATAATTAAATTTTGAAAAAAGAGACTGGCAGCATTAAACTTGATTTATAATATAACTATCAGACTTTTATTTATACACACACACACACATACACACATACAGTTAAGATCAGAATTATTAGCCTCCCTGAAAAATTAGGCCCCCTGTTTATTTTTTTTCTCCAATTTCTGTTTAATGGAGAGATTTTTTCAACACATTTTAATTATAATATATTATATATATAATTATAACAATTTTAGTAACTCATCCCTAATAACTGATTTATTTGATCTTTGCCATAATGACAGTAAATAATATTTGACAATATATTTTTCAATACACTTCTATACTGCTTAAAGGTACATTTAAAGGCTTAACTAGGTTAGGTTAGCTTGGCAGGTTAATATAATTAGGCAAGTCATTGCATATCGATGGTTTGTTCTGTAGACTATCAAAAAATTGTTTAAAGTGGCTAATAATTTTGTCCTTAAAATGATATTTAA